AGCAGAGATCAAATGAACTGAATTTAGCCTTAATATACGTTCTGACTTATGGCAGATCATAAAGCTGCAAGCAATAAGTAAGCGAACTTTTTTTTGCAGCGGATTTAGTCAAAAGTGTTTTATGCACAAGCGGAAATGCGGCATAGCGCTATCATATTCGGAAACTGAAATCACAGCGCTGACATCATTTGATGTTGAAATCAGTTATTAGGCTTTTCTCCGTTTCAGAAGGTACTCGCCCTTTACAAACATCTAAAAGCCTTGCATATCGCGACCCTCAGCTTGCTTCACTGAAAAAAAAGAACCCCCCACCCCCCAAAAAAACAAACAAAAATAAAAAAAGGTTTTCGTGGCAACAGGTCGGTTTCTTGATTCACCACTTCCTTTTACACATCATTAATAAAGTGGCTTGTCACCTTTTTGATGCTTCGACAACTAAAACATGAAATATCTGAATACATCTGAAGATTAATCAGTTAAGCCTTGACGTGGTCGTATTCTTAGCTACAGAACGCTTTTCACTCTCTTTACCAAAATTCTAAATTGCATCGCCCACCAAACATTCATACTTTCCCTGTGGTGCGTGGTCTCCACGTTTGGAATGATTGCAGGAAGAATATATTTCTTCTAATATTCAGCACTCAAAAATAATTTAGCAATTTTTTTTTTATTCATTTCAACCCAAGCAAAGAGGAAACGCCAGCAGTACGTAGGGAGTGAAAGTGAAAGTGAAAGAGATAGCTGAGTATAGGAGGGATGAGGAAAGAACAACAGATGAACGAAATTCAAGAAGACAAAAGATGGCGAGCAATGAAACCTCACCTACCTTCTGATGGGTGCTGCTTGTCATGTTTTTCTTTTTTTGTTACTACCGCTGTGATAACAACAACAAAGATGACGACAACAGTTCGAATGTAAATAGTGTAAATAAAAATAATTCATTATCAGAGAAATTCAAACAGAAAAACACATTACTGTATAGTATTCGAACCAGTCAATTAATATATATTTCTTTAATCATTTTACTCCAAGCATGGCGGGAATATCAGTGGTACGCAACGGGATGGGTACCATGAGTGAAATTGAAAGAAAAGACTGACTATAGGGAGGGTAGAGAAAAAGACATAAGATGAACGGGTTTCAAGAAGATAGAACATGACTATTGATGAATTGGGCACCTCAAGGTGGTGTAATGGTTAGCAAGCTAATCTCGCTAGAACAATTACGACTGAGTAGTGAGTTCGATCCCCGCTGGTACTCCATACTTTCGGCCTTGTGCCACATCCAAGCTACGCTTGGAAAATAGCTATTGATGTTGCAGTTAGGTTTTTGGAGATTGTAGTTATCAGGGAAGCAAGAAAATGGAAAAAAGAGTTCCACAGGCGGTAAGAGCGAAGAAGGAACTGTTAGATAGAAATAGCAGTTGCATTTATCTATTTTAATAGTAAACGGGTAGGATCTAGATACCAATCTATTAGCACGCTTAAATTCATGTAGTCGGGGCAACAGGGAAAAAAATCTCTTGAGAGCGAGCAGTTGCCCTGAACATATTTGTAGAAAAGACAGAAGGAAGCCACGCCATGTCGGTGTTAAAGTGACTGAAGTCGATATGCCAGCTCAGAATCGAGTACATTACAAGATCCTTCTTTGGATTTTGTCAAGAACCTCGAGATGGATCTTACTGATTCTTGGAGATGAAGATTCATAGCAGGGAAAAAGGAATCTACAGAACGAAATCAAAATCCAAATAGAGAGAATCTACCAGCTGAGAATCACAAAACTCGAAATTCTTGCTTTTTCATGAGCTCGAACACCGACCACTGGCAGAAAATATACAATAGATTCACCCATGAGGCAACACGACAGCAAGATCCTCATATGAAGAAATTATATTTTGTTCGGTGTAATTTGATAAGACGTTTCCCGATCAATAATATTTGATTAACTTGATGTAGTGTCCTTCTGATAACTTATGTAGACTGTCTCAGTCACCTTAAACCCAAAGCTAATGGCGTTTCTATTACTTGTATAAAACTCGTTACTCTCAGCTCTGTAAAAATCGTATCATCACGATTAAACGTTTTTGAGAAGAATTCTAACCGCGACGATATTATTCTACTCGTATCGCTTATTTGTTTTTTTTTTTTTTGGAAAGTTACTAGGAAAAAATCTTTTCTAAGAAAATGATAATTTAGAATTGCGAATCTGATTTGAAGCAGATTCTAAAACTCCATTCAAATTATAATTTATTCAATTCTGAAAATTAATTCAAATTATAATTTATTCAATTCTAAAAATTAATTCGAATAATCATTTATTCAATTCTAAAAATTAATTCGAATAATCATTTATTCAATTCTAAAAATTAATTCGAATAATCATTTATTCAATTCTAAAAATTAAGCCCATTCATAATTTATTCAGTTTTAGGAATTAATTAGAGTTATAAATCAATTTAATTCTAAAATTTAATTCGAATTATAATCTATTCAATTCTAAAAATTAAATCCATTCATAATTTATTCAGTTTTAAGAATTAATTAGATTTATAATTCTAAAACTCCATTCAAATTATAATTTATTCAATTCTAAAAATTAATTCGAATAATCATTTATTCAATTCTAAAAATTAATTACATTCATAATTTATTCAGTTTTAAGAATTAATTAGATTTATAATTCTAAAACTCCATTCAAATTATAATTTATTCAATTCTAAAATTAATTGAATAATCATTTATTCAATTCTAAAAATTAATTACATTCATAATTTATTCAGTTTTAAGAATTAATTAGATTTATAATTCTAAAACTCCATTCAAATTATAATTTATTCAATTCTAAAAATTAATTCGAATAATCATTTATTCAATTCTAAAAATTAATTACATTCATAATTTATTCAGTTTTAGGAAATAATTAGATTTATAAATCTATTCAATTCTAAACTCCATTCAAATTATAATTTATTCAATTCTAAAAATTAATTACATTCGTTATTTATTATATATTTATTATTATTTTTAGAAATTAATTAGATTTATAAATCTATTCAATTCCAAAACTCCATTCAAATTATAATTTATTCAATTCTAAAAATTAATTGAATAATCATTTATTCAATTCTAAAAATTAATTAAATTCATAATTTATTCAGTTTTAAGAACTAATTAGTATTATAAATTTATTCAATTCTAAAATTTAATTCGAATTATAATTTATTCAATTCTAAAAATTAAATAATAATTTATTCAATTCTAAAATTAATTCCATTTATAATTTATTCAGTTTTAAGAATTAATTAGAATTATAAATTTATTTAATTCTAAAATTTAATTCAAATGAAAGCAGTTGAAAATAATATTCTATTCATATAAACTACCAATTTCCTCGTTATTTCCTTGAATGATATGGCTGAGAAAAGAACATTTGGAAGCGGCACTCATGAGCAATATTCTATTGAAGGAAAGTAACCCACTGAAGTTTCAACCTAGGTTTTGCATGAATTTGAATCAGCAGCACCAAACACAATGACTGATAGCAATATTACACTTTTGGGAATTTGCGACAACCATAAAGTAAACAAGCATACAGTATTACTCGACAGAAGGCAACAAGCCCTTGACAAGTTTGAAACTTCGTCAATATTTATGTGATTTCTCAGGCAGTTCATGTTCTTTGTACGACAACTCACGACAATCTGCGAAAAAAAGATTAACGAATTGCGGTTAGTACAAACAGGCTTTTCAAAGTTTATATTTATTTAGCATCAAGAATTTAAGATAGAATAAAATTGTTTTCACTCATTAAATCTTGGGCTGTATGTTGAAATATTGTCAAGTTTTCAACTTTAAGAATGTTTTAGAGCGTTCTCATATTCAAAATTTGAAGAATTAATGATATTTTTCCTCCACGTTACTTCTTTCCATAGTATTTACGAAATAAAATCTCCATATTTATTACGAAACAGTTCTTTAAGGAGAGAGACGTGTTAGAATAGGAAAGAATTTTTTTCACCCCAAGCAAGGCGGGAATGCCATCAGTACGCAACGGGTTACATGGAGTGGAAGTGAAAGAGAAGACGGAGAATAGGGATGATTGGGGAAAGAAGAAAAGATGAACGAGATTCAAGAAGACAGTAGATAGCAATTGACGTTGCATTTAAAGTTTTGAAGAGTCTATCAGGGAAGCAAGTAAACGGAAGGGAGTTCTACAGGCAGTAAGTGCTGGAAAAGAAACTGAGGGGTGTATAAGTGGCAGTTGCTTTTAGCTATATAACGGTAAACGGGTGGTATTTAGATGCCAATCTAGTGGCACACTTAAATTCATGCAGTCGAGGTACCAGGTAAAAAAAGCACGATAGAATAGTTGTCATGAAAATATTTGTAGAAAAGACAAAGGATTTCCTTTTGTCTTTACTTTTATTTATATTGTCATTACAGATATATTTTATTTATATCTGAAATTTTATACACACTCACACTTTATTATATATATATATATATATATATATATATATATATATAATAAACAGGTTTAAACACTCCTTTTTATTATTATATCCTTACTCTGTCCTACTATTCATAAAAATATATATGTATATGTATGCATGTATGTATATATACACAAATTTATAAAAACAAGGATCTTTTCATTCATAAACAGGTTCGGGGTTTTTGCATATTATTTGAATTGTTCGCGACGATGGATTTCTCGCCAATTAAATCATTAACCTTTGTATTTGTTTTTTGTATGAATAATTCATGAATATATATATATATATATATATATATATGAAAATTTCTCCGATTTAACCAGTGGAGAAGACAATATTTCTGAATAAAAATGACAATTACTAGTTTTCCTATTGTCATTTTATTCATATATATATATATATATATATATATATATATATATTGTGTGTGTCTGAACTTCTGTGCGGGATTTGTTTAATTAATGTGTACTGTTAAAAATAATATCTCAGGTGAGATATTTCCCTGTTAGATATTGCGTCGTGGTAGAAATTTTCTGTCGATGCCATTGGCCTGTATTAAATTAAAAATTTCAAGAAAAAAGCAAACAGACAAGTGAAAGGATTGAAAACTAGAAGAGGGAAAGAATGGAGAGAAACTGAGAGAAAAAAAAATGGAAACAAAGAAAGACAAAAATAAACACAAAAAGAGAAGAAAATTTAAGGTAGGAAACGAAAAAATGTTATCAAAAGATGAATTAAAATCTGAACAGCAAATGAGAAAACTTAAATAAAAGAAAAAGAAATAATGCAAAGCGTAAAGCCAGCATCATTTATTTGCTGGGTTCCTTCAGGATGTATGACCAATCACGGCTCTCCGCAACATCCCGTACATTGCAGCCCTTAACAACGTCTGACTCTTTACCGCCTATCTTAGTGCCTGTTCTGTCCTTCATTGACACAAAATCGCTTAGTAGCCGACTCGCTATTTTCTTCTGCCTATCCTTCCTTTAATATGTATTTTTTTAAAATCATTTCACCCCAAGCAAGGCAATAAAGACACTAAGACGCAAGGGGGCTACTGAGTGTGAGAGAATATGAGAAAAAGAAAACATTTTTAAAGAGAGAGTAGAATAAAAGAACGGAAGTTTAGAAGATATAAAATAATGATTGACATTGCATTTACATTTTTGAAGATCAAAGCAAAGAACCAGATGTGAGTTACACAAGTGAGAAGTGAAAGAGAAGAAACTGTCAGCATAGAACTTACGTTTACAGCTAGTCATTTCAACTGTTAGATGATGAAAGCTTGTCGCCAATCTAAGAGTATGCTTAAATTCATAAAGTCTAGGTACAAAAGAGGAAAGCTCATCAGAGTGTCCTGGTAATATTAAAATTCACAATGCCTTTTACTTCATTATGTGTCCCAGAAATCTCACCTGTCTATTTCTGTTGTGGTGTCCTCCCTCTAAAGAGTCTATGTTAGACTCTTATGCTTACTATAAGACCGGGTTCCTCTCTGCTCAAGGCAGAGAGTTCGACAGGAGCTGCGAACTGTCACAGCCTCAGAAGAACAGTGTATATCACCGTTATATTCAGTGACCACGCCCTACGAGGGCACATGTGGCTCAAGGCCGAGTTTAACCTGGGTCATCCGAGCCTGTAGGCTATTCCAAAAAATTCCCCGTAGAACCCGCATAAATGGGTTCGGGTCTGTCTACCTCCCCGGACGAAACTTTGCCCTTCGGCGCAAGTCTCGTCCGGGTTCCTCCCTGCCGAAAGCAGAGAGTTCGAGAGCAACTGCGAACAGCCTCAGTAGAACAGTCTATATCACCGTTCCCAAGTGTCTTACTTTCCTACTACTTTATAGTAATTGGAAGAGTTAACAATAGCCTCATTAGAAGGAAGACACCACAACAGTTTATGCAACAACATCGACGTCACTTGAGCTAGGTGGGGATTATCGAGCATTTAGTGCCATAGAGGAGATTAGATGCTACACAGCGGCTCAACATTCGTTTTTTATACTGAAATTTTCCCATCGCTTAGTTTTTGAAAGACATCTTTTACTAGTCCTACGCATTTTCGAATGTTTGAGGGCCTAGAGAATCTGATACTCACAAGTCGAATAGAGGGAAAGAGAGACAAGAGATAACAACACATGACATACCAGGCTTAATCAAATGGATGACAGAACGTGGTCTGGGTGAGGTGGCAAAGGGAACGAAACTCTTTGAGAGCTACAAAGGATAGGGAGAAGTGGAGAGCTATGATCGCCTATGTCCTGAAAGAACACGGCTCTTAAAAATAAAGAAAGATTAATACCTTTTCTAGATAGTTAGATAACTGTTCTTGCTTGATTTTGACAGTCCCCAGTACATAGCTAACAACTTAAGATGTCTATTTTGATGAAGACCATTATTTCTGCCTTCTTAAACGGAAAATGAAAAAGAAAAAAAGAAATGAAAATGTTTCATTTTTTATATCATGAAAATGCGTTCGCACATGTGATTACAATTTTCCCATTTGGGTTCTCTTCTTTGATATCAATTTTGGCAAAGGAAGCCTTAAATTTTCTTCTTCTTGAAGATCAGATTTGCAGTATTATCAATTTCCACCGGGAAAGCGACAAGTTGTTCTTATTAAACTCTGTCACACTTGATAGTGTTTGTTTTATTATTTAAAAGAAACAAACAAAAAACAAACAAAGAAACAACAACAAGAAAACGACAACAACAGCCAAAAAGAAACGTTTCCAGGAAATTAAATTGAGTATGTATACAGAGGGTGCAGCAAAATCCTTTTCAAAACCTGACAAAATGATTAAATATATGTGACTTGTTGGGGAAGGAATACTTGGTCGGGCTAAGAACCTTTCAGCATAGCTTTTTTAAAAAAATACTATTGCGCACATACATAAACCTATCTGCTAGGACAGCTAGCCAATCCCTGTTGCAGATACCTGCTTAGGCACATTTCTGTTTGTTCAACACATGCATATTCCACCTGCGATTTATTGTGCAACTATGTTGAGCGCACTTTAGTCACAGTTTCTGCGAATAAAATATCAGTATATATATATATATATATATATATATATATATATATATATATATAGAGAGAGAGAGAGCCGAGTTCGAACTCCAGTCGAATCCATTACATTCACTTACGTGCTAATACCCTTGGGAAAGGTATGAATCCTCTTCCTCTCCCTTCAGCTATGGGTAAAATAGCAGAATAAACTGGGTTTTATACCCTTGGTTGGCAACTGGTCTAGGAGAAGGGCAACTCTGAATTCAAAACCTGCGGAGGGTCGTTTGAGAACATTGTGGCACTTAGTGCACCAGGTCTCTGTATTCATCCCTTCAAAAAGTGTGGATGGTCCTGCACGAGGCCTTCACCACTATAATCAAATCTCATGTGCCGGTGCCGGACTGTCGGTTTCCTGGAAACTGATCTGCTTGACCCTCATACGTCGAATCTCGACAGCAGAGTCGATTATATATATATATATATATAGAATGTCCTCTGGTTATGTCGGATCCGACGTAAAGTATGTTGTCGTTACGGTGCTATCTCCCATAATATAATATGTCGTCACACGGCGCTATACGAAAAAGACGTCGTTGTTTCTTCCCGGTTGTACGCCATGTTGGATTGTGTTACATTCGCTATCTCTCGTTTGTGTCGTTATCGGATGATTTTTGCCCTTCATTTTGACTCCCAAGAATAGGGCAGACTCGCGGGTGTTTATGTATGTAAGTTTTGATATAATTCAAAAATCAGGTTACGTCGCGCAGTAGGAACGGATCTCCGACGTAAGTAGAGGACTCCCTGTTTATACGTGTGCTTGTGTGTTATTTTTAATTTATTTTGTTTAAACGTTATTTTTATGGATACTCATATTCGAGTAGAAGCTCTGCTATTGTTTTTTTTTTTAATTTCGTGTTTTGGCATCTCTCTCTCTCTTCTACGCTTCTGCATGTATTATTGTACACCAATCAGGCAAACATTTATTCTATCTGTTATCAATTCAAACACTTCAAATGACTTGGCGTATGGGTCAGTTATAACATATTTAGCATAGGTAATAAGGAAATAGGACATAGCATAGAGGTAGCTTCGCCCCGTAAATTGTTACAAAACCAAAATATCAACCTGAAAACTTGAATCATCTTAAATATCCTCGTTAGATCAGGACATTCATATGGATATTATGCATGATTAGGACAGGTTGATTTTGGAACCGTGGTATTTCACTCGATGTGAAAGTTAGTGTTTGACATGATCAACAATGACAGAAAATATTTTTTTCAAAATTGTCACCGTTTTTGTGGAAACGAGTTTAAAGATCAAGTTTAGGTTCAACATCATAGCGTTGGAATTTCATTCCGGTGATCAGTGAAATAATTCTAGCATAGCTTTATAAAATTTATAATTGAAATATATTCAGTTAGTTGGTTTAAAATTAAAAGGGATAATTAATTCCATAACCAAGAACTGTATATCTTCAACATGTTCCAGAGAATAAAATAAGTCGACCGAAAAACAGAAAATTACATTAGAAAGGTACAGTAGGATGCTTTCGTCTTGTTCCTGGAAAAAATATTCTTTTCTCTTTGTTGAAGTCGGATCAATTGGATGGGAGTGGAGAGTGGTAATAAGTAAGCATTTATCCATATTTAATTAGTTTTGTCAATTTACAAGACTAATATTAAAATTTAATTCAAGTTACATCTCAAAAATGTAACCAAGAATGGGTAAATTTTCCAATAAAATTTTTTTCTTTCTTTCAGAAGTAGCGAGCCACGAAAGAGATTAAAAAAATGCATTCATCAATTCTGAAACGACACGCTGGTCAAATTTGATTAACCTCGCTCAAAATGGAGTTTGTGAACCCTTGCTTGCAGAAGGTTTTTCAAATGAAAAACTGCAATAGGTTCTAACGACGTTCGAATTGCCGAATTTACCTGTACATTCGGAAGGTGTGGAAAAGCAGTTAAATTAACTACCGAAGTTGAACAGATTTTATATGGACAAGAAGCAAGACGCTAGCACATGGTTACTTAATCATTATGCCATCAAATAAGACCTTCATTTACATTAAAAGGAAATTATACTGAACACTTTAGCTAAATTATGTGGTAATATGTTATACAGTGCTGTAGTTTTAGTGCGATTATCTATAAACAATGCAAATTTAAAACATTTTGTCTTATATTTTGTGCCCAGCAGTATTATGTGTGATATAAACTTTTATCTAATTTTGATTTATTGATTATAATCTAACAAATGGTGTAAGATCTTCATTGATTAGCCTTTTTTGTAATCATTTCCAATTTTTACAGTTTTCACTCATCGAATACAGAAGAAATTGCATATTTTCCTTGTGGTGATTCATAATTAGAATTCTGGTTTGAATATATTTCCAAGTCAATGTATCTAATACAAAAAAACATCAACTTTATTTGGATTTAATCTTGAAAGAGTAAACTTCTGAAGTCATTTTGTACGCAAAAACCTGCGAAAATGAGATATTTCTATATATTTTTCGGATGATTTTTAAAACTCAATGCTCAAAAGATGGTAAAAGCTATGAATCTAATTTTTCTCAATATGCTATAAAAGAAGGATTCCTAATAAAATGGGATACAAAAAT